GTATAAAAAGTCATATTGGTACTTGCCGTTGGTAGGTTTCGAGCCCGCGCCCTCATATATGAGAAGCGGGCGGGCGTCTTAAACCTCCGGGCCACCACGTCATTTTATGGAGTATTCTCACCAAATTTGACAGATTTTGAACAAGATTTAATATTATATTACCCATTTTGTTATTAAGATGGAATGTTATAACTATTGTTATACACCGGCCACAATTCCAAACACAACTCTTTTAAAATGCAATAACAATGTGGAATAAAAAGTATCGCCATAAAACCTTGACGGTATTTCTTTAGTACATAGGTCTAAAACCAAATTATCATAACAAAACATCACGCCCTTTATCCCCAAGGGGGTAAGCAGAGGTACTCATTACGGCACTTAATACTATTGCACATACAACCTAACACCCTCTTTTCACTATTTAAGTTATAAGTCCCATGTAATAGAAGCTGAGCCTATTGCTATATACCGGGCACAATTCCAGACTCCATGCTACTACTGGGTTTTCTAAAAACACTAATTTATACTTTGCACGACTCGGGAATCGAAACTGAGACCTCTTGCCCGGCAGTCTCACTTGCGACCAGTCGGCGAACGAGGCAGGCAGCGAGCAAATTATCAATGTCTATTAATAAACTGATTCCAAATTAACCTCTTCACTGAACAGAACATCGACATTTTATACGTCAACGCAAAACAGAAGGGCATTTAAATAATTAATTTTGTAACTTGAGTGATTTTGGTCTAATTTGAAATATCGGTTTATTGCGGTTTCGGTAAACTGTGGAGTTTTATGTTACGTCTATTATTTATCTATAATAAGAAACATAGTTCAATATTAAATGTATTAGGTTTAGTTTTACAAAAGTTCATTGCTATTACAGAACTTATTTTAATGTTTATCGTTCTCTTAGAGAATCTAATTTAGATTCTGTAATACAAGGCGTAACATTTGTGCATACTGCGATTCATTGTAAAGCCCTGTTGACGCTAAGGCCAGTATTATAGACCGATACCCCAGCGGAAATCTCTGCTCAAACATTGTTGAAAAGGGATGCACGTATCCATTGAATGTATTCGCATCCCTTTTGAACTGTACTTGAGAAGACATCTCCGTTTGAGTGTCGTTTTAAAATATCGGTCTTAGGTGTGTTTACATCTATTGCAAATACGAAAGCATTCCCGAGTGTATGACAAAGGGGTTGGTGGAGACTTAATCTGCTATACAGCAATCCGTTTAATGTATTGGTTAAGACGATTTTGTTACATGGAACTTGTAACAAAACAGGTTAGGTGTTACACGTATCTCTGTGGGGATTAATTGGCGTCATGTTAAGTTATGTATATTATAATCTTATACTATTATATAAAGAAGAAGAGTTTGTTCTTTTGTTTGTTTGAGCGCGCTAATCTCCGTTACTACAAGTTTGATTTGAATAGTTCTTTTGTGTTGTATAGCGCATTTATCGAGGATGGTTATAGGTTATAAAAATCACGCTACGACCAGTAGGAGCTGAGCAGAGAGTGTAAAAGATTACAGAAAATGCCATATACTTAAAAAAAGCCGGGACACGCTCTTGTGACATCTCTGGTGATGCCATGAACGGCGGTGATTGCTTACCATCGGGTGATCCGACTGCTCGTTTGTCGTAAGCCATAAAAATAAATTTTTACTAGAATTGTTCTCTAAAGAATGAGGTTTTAATTAGGTAACGGTAATGGACTTAACCTGACTGACAATGGTGATTATTATACTAATATAACATAACTACGTTTCAAACGATTGCCATCACCATCAATTTTGTTTATAACAGATTATCTGTTATTAAAATGAAATGAATACATTATCAGATGCAACTTAAACTAATTATATAAACACTTGACACCGATTTGCATAATTTATAAAAAATAACTTTATTTCTTCTAAAAACCGAAGCCAATACTGGTACTATTATTTTAGTAATTCTAAATTAATAGGTCGAGTATTCAAATTAGTAAAACTAGTATACGTAGGTATATAGTGAATTACTAAGTTATTATCTCATACTTGAACTTGAGACGTAAACAAATATTAGGTAGATATTTAAAAGGGTTTTTTAAAATAGCTTTACATAGAAATTTCTGATAATTTAGCGATAAATTTTTATCGAAGAATTTTCTCGGCAATGTGATCAACGGCGCGTTTATAAATTTTTTTATAGAATTTTTGTATTATCTCCTTTTTTTAAAAGAAATTCTTAGCAAGGCAAATCGTGTCTGAGAATGTTAAAAATTGTCACTTAAAATATTGTAGCGATATTTTTTATCTAAACTGGAAGAATGTTTAAATATTTTCTAAATAATTATTATAGAATAAAACCTACAGATATTGTTTTACTCCTTTTTATCAAATTTTAACATTTTTTCTATAAAATTCTTGTATTAAGTATATAGTTATTCTTAGCAAGGTAAATCGTGTCTGAGAATGTTAAAAATTGTCACTTAAAATATTGTTGCGATATTTTTTGTCGAAATTAGGAGAACGTTTAAATATTTTCTAAATATTTCTTATAGAATAAATCCTATAGATATTTGATTCTCTTTTTCTTCCCAAAAGGGTAGGAAGATGGAGGTAGACATCAATAATAGTCTGAATAAGCATTTGTTCTGTTGCAAAATGTGAATAGCAGTATCTCTCAAACCTACATATATTACATACTACTAATTTACAGCTAGGTATTAGATACCAAATTATACATATATATATATGCTGAGGTAATACTGTACAATTCTGTATAATTGTTGAACATACTGAATGCGTACTAATACTGCAACGTAGTCCATCTTATGAGATGTTGAAACTGCAAGATAGGTAACTGTTAATTCATTTAAACATAATAATATACATACAACTTTGTATACAGATAAAGCAGATTATCTATTTATTTATTTATTTAGTCTTTAATGTACACAATTTGATTATGGCACATAAGGCAAACTTAATGCCATATGGCATTCTCTACCAGTCAACCTTAGGGTTTAAGTAGAAAATCTGCGAAAAATAAGGTACGGAGAATAAACTAACAGCAAAGAGAGAGAGGAAAAAATGGTAATTATTAAATAATATAGCTATACATATATATTACATAATAGTAAATAGTTATGTGAATAAAATATGTAGGTATAAATACATACATAAATATATATCGACGAAGACCTAGACGTAGCTTTGCAGCGATTTTAAATAAAATTCGTGAACTTGGTAGTTGGTTGATTTTTGGTGGTTGGTTTGTAGATTTTATTAGGAGCTTTTTTGATATTGAGGGGGAGCGCGTTCCAGAGTTTGATGACACTTATTGTAAAGGAATTAGAGATTATATTGATATTTGCCATTCTGCCTCAGTTAAACTTTAGGTCACGTAAAAAAAATCAACGAAAAAATATTCCAAGTATGGTAGTCGGTAAACATTGTTCCTATTTATCACAGTTATGTATATATGTACTAGCTACTTCCGCGCGGTTTCACACGCTCTGCTCAGCTCCTGTTCTTTGTAGCGCGATATCTTACAGCCTATAGCCATCCTCGATAAATGCGCTATCCAACACAAAAAGAATTATTCAAATCAGACTTGTAGTTACGGAGATTAGTACGTTCAAACAAAAAAACAAACTCTTCCGCTTTATATAAAAGTATAAGATGTTCTGTGCTGATCATAGAAAAAAATATGTGTACAGAGAACAAAATGCTCATCACATTACAATATGTTAAAGATTTCGTTTTATTTGGCTGAATAAAGCAATAAATTACACTGTACTATATTGGATTAAATTAACATCTTTTGGTGAATTCCTTTGTAAATACCTTGGTATGCAACGTACTTTAGGGTGTGGTTTATAATCGGACGCGGTCCATTAAGTGATAATTAGATAAGTAGCCAAATTACCATTACGATTTTGCTAACGTCTTAAGTAGCAGCATTGATTATTAAGCTCGAATAGTTCCAGAAGTTACTTGAGTTTTTTAAATATATATTTTGTTATCTGTAGCTAAGGGTTGAAAGTATTTTGTTAGAATGTTGTTGCCTGGATCAGATAAAATATTTAAGTACTTTACCTAACACTAACATTCCGCTACAAACTACTCCTAGAATCGTAGCACATCTGTATTAAAGAAAACAGTTACAAACTTTCCTTTATCAGTAAAAAGTTTAACAAGTCCTGTTGTCGAGTTTGGCGACAGAACGCGTGAACTTCGCGTACCTAAATTTTTTCCGTAGAAAATGTAATTTGGTATATTTATAATTATATGGGTATTATAAACCTACCTTACTCACACCTCAAATAGACAGACAGACAAGCATTGAGTTACAGCCTGCATACAAATTGATTAATATTCTAGCCATTGAAGTTTTTATTCAAGTCGTAATTACTTAAATACAGGTTGTACTACTAAAACGTAATTAATGCAATATTTCACATCACATACAACGTCCATCAATACAAACAGTAACATATTAAAGTGAGTGGCACGCCTAATTTTTGTAATCATTCAGCACGCACCTCGCTCTGACGTACTAATCACGGCAGTTAGCGGGTGGTGCACGTATGTACAACAATGTTGTGGCCAATCAGAGCGTGGCATCTGACGCGCGGATTGACCGTCGTCGTGGCGAGACAAGAAGGCGCAACAAAACCACGTGGACCTAATTGTGCCATTGTCTAAACGTTGTGAATTATATATTTTGACACCAAGCTTGTGTGTAGAAAGCGGAACTTTCTAATCCTTTTATCGGTATTCCGTCTGTTTGTATAACTTGTTAATGCATAGAGGTAAATGTGATTGCAAGAAGGCAGATTGAATTTTAAGTTCTTCTATTAGCAAGATATCGGTTTCCAATTCGTGGTCACTTTGATTGTGTGAATGTCAATTCTGTCTGAATTGATTTATTCACTAAATAAATGATGTAGAAGCATTAGTACTGGTTTAAATCCTACAGGCAAGCGATTTTGATACTTACATGTTCAGCTTTAGTGGATAATTCAGCCTGAAGAAAGTTTGTCCATGGACAGCCATGCTGAAATAACTCGCCTCCTCAGTGTTTGATATCCAGGCTGATATTTCCCTAGGGTTTTCTCCGACTGTAAACAAAAGATATTTCTACTTAGTTGGGAGTTTTAATCAGGCATTGCATCTCGATAACAATAGAAATTTGTATCGGAAACATTTTTATTATTAGCGATTTTTCGTATTGCATTGTCGCGGTCTTTTATCACTTTACCATTAACTAAATATTGTGTTAAAAAGTATGCTAAATAAATAAGAATGACTAAATATTTTTACTGCCACGTCTGCCTCGTTGGCCGAGTGGTCGCAAGTGCGACTGGTGGGCAAGGGGTTTCGAGTTCGATTCCCGAGTCGAGCAAAGTATAACTGGGTTTTTAAAAAAATCTCAGTAGAAGCATGGAGTCTGGCATTGTGCCCAGTATATGGTAATAGGAACACCCGCTATTACATCCACTCACTCTTAACATAAATAGTGAAAAGTGGGTGTTACATTGTAGAGTGGCATTAAGCGCCGTTACGTGCACCTCTGCCTACCCCTACGGGGGTAAAAGGCGTGATGTTATGTTATGTAATAAAATATTTTTACGAAAAGTCAATTTAATAATGTTTTACTACTGCCAGATATCTATTTAATAAGTGTGAATTTGTGAAGGGTACTTATCTAAAAGTACTTTCACATTATATTTAAAAACTAGAAAAAGGCTTTTCTTTTTCGCCTCCCCGAATAGTTACAAGCCGTTTAGATTCGAGAGAAATTCTATCGCTGAATTATCGAACAAAATACAATATAGTACAATAAAATTTATGCGAATGTAAAAATGTAGATCAAAATCCCCTTCAAAATAAAATGATAATTGCTTCATTGCACATACCCAAGTCCCTGAGAAGATTTTTCTACGCTAGGTTGTATTAAGATTATGACAGATATCAGTCTAAAATATGGATAGCGTTGGGAGCTAGAAGCGAAATGACTTTAGTCGAGTAAGTTTTATTGGGACTATTTTAAATGTGTTACTATTTCAATATAATTATACGGCTTAGCTGTTTCATAATAGCCTTGTGATTATTCTATTTTTAAAAATGCTGTCAACGTTTTAATCGGCTAGTAAGTAAATTATTAAAACAAATAATAATCTCGTCAGGTTTATAATATTGTGACTGCCTCGTTAGTCGAGGAGTCGAGTCGTCTCACGTGCGACTGCCGGGCAAGGCGTCTCAGGTTCGATTTGCGGGTCGGACAAATAATTTCTGTTATTATTTGAATCAAAATTAGCACTTTGTACTTATTCTGTATTTTAGAGTGTTTAATGTTTAACATTTATTGTTATAATCATTATTTATGAGAATGATCCTAATCAAAATTGGTTCAGTCGTTCTTGAATTATGGGCAGAGTAACCAACTTGACGTTGCACTATTATATATATTATATATTGAAGGTTGATTTGTAACATTATTTATTTGGGATTCATTATTATTATAATCATAAAAAATAAACCGGTATTTAATGATTTCCTAAACATTTAGATTTAGGTACTAATTTACCTTGACACGCTTTTTTGTTGTTTTTTATTTAATAGGTCGTCTCCTTTCGGTATTACTCGGCTTATGCTATTTTGTTTTTTCTACAGACTATAAGGCAAAGACCTTATCTACTGTAGGACTATAGTCCTTGATTTTAAGGGGTTGCCATATTATTCTCTATACTTTGCGTGCGGATTGTAGTTCGCAATTCAATATTCTCAAGTTTATCAGACTACGGTATTTATTTTAAGGTCTATAATGAACGTCGTAATTCATATATGTAAAATTAATTGCATTTTTATTATTTACTTGTTATTCAATGACGAAAAATCCTTTTTTCAAGTGCAGATGAAACTAAAATAAAAATATATAGGAAAACAAAATCAAGTACGAAAATTGTAATAGTAATTATTATAATTATGTTCTTTAAATTTTACATAGGGATGTAAGGTAATATATTAGTTCAATATGCTACTGCTTCAGAGTTTCGAACTTCTCGAAGACATCAAGGGTCGAAGTTTACAAATTAAATTATAACGTTATTTGTTAGGAATTTCCTTAATATTCCAGTAGTGATAAAAGTGGCCTGAATAGCCTAAAATATAACTGTCAAGAAAACCTGTACAATATGTTAATGTTAGAGTGTAACAGCCTCTAAATCGATAAAATACGTAATATCTAGATACTTACTTATCTATAGAATGCCAATCAAAACTATGTTCGAAACTCATTTTATGTAGATCTCTGATTCTCTGCGGATCTTTATTAAATAAACCTGAATATGTATACTTAGTAAGTTATTTTGCTAGCACGGTGAGGGTTAAAAGACCCAGGATAGTATCTAGCTTAATTTAAAAATCAAACTAGATAAGTATGTAAAAAAGAGGTATGTAAGTTTAGGGAACAAAGAGTACAGTTCCCTAAGATCGGAAAAGGAGAATCCTCCGACCAGGCGAGGTGATTGTGCCTGGCGAGGTGATTTTTGTGACGTCATCAGTTGACATGTAACATGTGTCGCCACATAAGCATCGTACCAGTTGGCATTCCAAACTTCCTACCCACCCCCATGGGTGACAGGCCTGAAGTTATGCATGTATATATGCCATGTAAAACTACTAGGTATAGTCCTACTAATTTGACGGCTATCATCAACAGAATGTCGAGCAAGTTAATTTGGAGCCCATCAGCTTTCCGATGGTTTTCCAATGTCATCACGTCGAGTCCAAGTAATTAAAATTTCAAGTACTTTCCTCTATCCGATTGACGTGCAGTGACATCTTTCAGTTCCATTTCGTGTTTTTAATGCAATTGGACCTCACATATGCGTGTCAAAGGATATCAGTTATGGTAATCAATCACCACCTCAAATGACAATCGTGATTTCACTATTAATTTATTGTGGACATGATTTTAGAGCTTCGTATATTTCGATATTTCGGTGCGACATTAGCATGGACTACGGTTTATGTTCGATTTATCTCGTGTCTCATAGTTGCATACATTCAATGTTGACATTGCATAAGGGCGCAGGGTCGAAGACAACAGCAAGTACCAATGTGACTTTTTCTGAGTTATATGTATTGTCTAAAATTATTTAGACACCACTGACAAGAAAAACATCATGTGGAAACGTGGTCTTATAATTTCTAGTATAAGCTTGAAATCGCCAACCTGCATAGAGCAAGCGTGATGATCAATGCTTAAACCTTCTCCTTGCGAGGCCTTTGGTCAGTAGTGGTCACTTATAGGCTGTTGATGATGTAGATGACGAGTTGCATGTCCATAGATTATGTGAGGAGATATTATTGGAGAGAGGAATATCAGAGACATGAGCTTTCTGATAAGCCTTGATGTTTTCTCATCTATACACATATTATGAAGCTGTCTTTTTTTGTTTGTCCTCGCTAATCAAAGAATTACTAGTTCGAATTTGATTTTCTTGGATAATCCATTAAATGCGAAAGGCTACATTCATATATAACATCAAACTACAATCAATGCGAGCCTAGCTGCTGACGGAAGCGCGTGGGAGTAGCTCGTGCAATAATGTTAACTAAACGAATAAATAAGCAAAGAAAAGCAACAGTTGGAAAATCACACAGAGAAAACTTTAAATAAAACGAACACATCGCTCTGCGGTCTTCTGAAGACGTATAAATAACCAATAGTAGTCACACCTAGGGTTGCCAACCATGCTTTATAATAACGTATTGTACTTTATTTTTCATAATCACACTTTATACTTCTACATACAAATAAAGTATGTGAAAAATCTTTATTTCTAACCTTTACTGCAATGCGTGGAATACTATTTAACGGTGTTTATAGGTTAAAAAAGATTATGGTAAACGACTTGTACCTAATTTCTGAACAAAATGTTAGTCAGTCAATAAGTAGATATCACAGATGTCACTATCGATGAAATTGTGTGAAAATTGTCCGATGTTATTGTATAGGTAATTAAAGAAACTCGAAAGTAAAAATTAATACCTAAAAATGACGAGTCATTCCGAGATTGAAAAAAAAATTGAAACATACTTTTACAAATAAAAGCTAAATACGCCTATTTCGTCGAAAAAAGTTGGCAACCCTAGTCACACCGACTCCACAGTACAACTAGTTATACATAAAGATTTCATAATAAAATGTATTAAACGATGTCTATGCTCTGTAACAGTACTCGTTTTAATTAGCCGAGGGAAACTATAGTAAGGTTTACTGGAAACATTTATTCTAGACACTACGTCAGTAAAATGATCGTTGAATAATGAAAGAACTTTAAAGTTGATACATTAATTTATAGTTGTAGAAACTGTTGCTTTATTTATAACATAACATAACATCACGCCTTTTATCCCCGAAGGTAGGCAGAGGTGCACACAGAAATAACATCCACTTTTCACTATTTATGTTATCAATCCCATGTAATAGGGGGTGAGGCTAATGCCATATACCGGGCACAGTTCCAGACTCCGTACTACTAATGAGATTTTTTTTTAAACCCAATAATACGTTGCCCGACCTGGGAATAGAACCCGAGACCCCTTGCGTGGTAGTCGCACTTGTGACCACTCGGCCAATGAGGCAAATCCCGCTTTGATTGAAATTATACTAAAGTAATAAAGTAAGAAAAGAGATACAGATGCATGCAGTATCTATTGTTACACCAAAATTCGTTTACCAAGAACCCTATGGTTTTGCAAACAATGGTCAGCTCAGTAGCCAAGCAATGATTACTCTCGGTACATAATAATAATATTTTGAAACCCTAAGATTATGCTCATAGTTTAGAAATAGTCGGTGATGAAAGAACTAAACAGGTAGTCTATCTACGATTTAATCTAGTTTCATACATCGTGAGTTCTAGAAACTGTCAATATAAGTACCTACTAAAATTACATAATCCTAATAAGTTTGATTAAATGACTTGGTCTGCGATCATATTTCGTGACTGGATATTGGTACATTTACCTTACTCGTTGCGACACTAAGACTAATAGATATAGGTATATTAATTATGGTATATAGGAAGTATAAGGACTCACGCCGTAAGTGCGTAACAAACAAAGCCTATATTGTTATATACTGTAAGCCTATATTGTAATTGTATATTAAAATAGTTGGGTAGACTACTTAAATTTATTGAATTAAACAATTTGATTTACATTAGATTTCATTGCTTTTACAGCAAAAGAAATATATAACAAAATTTATTTAATACCTTTACTCTTTTAGCTAAATAAAATTATGTTTTACGGAATATAATTTTTCATCTCTTTGATAAATTCGAAGTGAGCACTCTCTTATACGGAAAACACTCAATTTCTATTAATCAATTACCATGCATTTCGTTTGTAAAACAGGACGCTTTGATCTAGTCAAATCTAGTCAAGAAGTGTAAACAAATATTTCGAAGAATTAATAACATAATATTACTCTGAAAACATCCTATATAGCTACAAAAATAAAAGTTTTATATTAAAATTTCCTACCATTTTTTGAATCTCTCGGGCAGATTTTGATATGTTTCTACATGAATGAGCATCCATATTTGGTTATGGTCTATCCTTAGCCATACTTGAACCAACTCCCATATATTTTTACCCGCTTCTATAAATTGGACTTTAAGCCCATTTAAGAACAATAAATATTTTGGTCGAATACAATTCTAGAGTCGATCTGTATCACGTCGGGGTCACTCCACTTTATGGAACAGAGGGTAAAGTTCCCTAAGGTCGGAAAAGGAGGATCCTCCGACCAAGCGAGGTGTTCGTGCCTGGCGGGCTTTCTGCCCAACAGTTTTTTTATTTTTTATCTATGTTAATTCGCATGTAAACTTTACAAGTGCGATGTTGGATTTTGTGACGTCATCCGTTGTTGATTTGTTTTCATCGATAGTCTTTGACATGTATCACCACAAGTCGCTTATCACACTGCATTTGCACACCGAAACACGATCGCTTAGCGCGATTGTTTCAGATTTTCACAATCTATATGTATTCTAATATCTGTACTTATATAGGAAATATGCCCGGACTGCCAACATTTTCAATGTTCGGGAAACCATATTGCGTCTTCTAGAGAAATACAAAACCCTAACTATTTTGGACTTGCCTAAGCCTGAAGTCGAAAGAACTCCATTAAAAATTTGCCCTTCCTCAGCAGTTGAGCTTACGACTATTCAATTAACATGGCACTTATTGGATAACACCTAATTAGCTTTTTACGTATATTTCCTAACAGTTACTGCAAATAAATCTTTAGGGCCAGCATTCACCACATTGTGACTTAAGTACGTCAAATGCGTCTACTTCATGTTACCTAATAATGCACTTTAAAGCAGGTAAAGGTCTTATTGAAATGGTCAAACAATCCTAGTCAGTTTTTCCATGAGTCAGCAGCAAATTTAAACACCACCTTTATTTCTCAAGCAGTGACACTGAATTCTGTACCATTTCATAAAAAGTTTATTTAGGACAGCTCTTTGAGGTAAAATCCTCTGAACTTCAGCGAGAAAGTGCCTCATTTCTTTCTGAATATATTCAATATCTTACCAGTCTAGACCTAATATTGCAGTCCGTTTGAGCAAGGGGCGGAATTCAGATAAAAGGTCAGGTCCAAAGAATATTCTTTTAATTTTAAACTTTTGTGTGATAACAATAGAAACCAATTTTGTTAGTTTTTTTTTGTGATTTGTGGCAGATTCATGTTTAATTTACTGGGAGATTCCTTCGTTCATCGAATGGTCGCAAGTGTAACTGCCGAGTAAGGGGTCTCGGGTATAGGCAAACCAAAGTCTAAGACGTCAGCCAAGATACATAAAAAAGCGAAAAAAAGGTACTCACCAGCATAAGAGAACAGAGGATGATCGCCAGAGTGATTGTGAAACTTGGTCCACATGCAAAGAGTAAACTCCTTGAGGTCAGGTATTTCTTTCTCGTATTCCATGTACTGAAAGAAGAGCTCCTGGTTCATGGAAACCTTGTGGATGCTGCAGGTATCAGACATTTGGCTGGCAGGGTTGAAGAGGCTGACTTTGTTACCAGATCCAAATTGTGGATGAACTGGTCTTCGGTTCACTATCTTGAGTTGTGGACTAGAAAGAAAGAAATTAGTTAGCCACGGAATATATGAATGTTTTCTTGTTTGATGTACATAGCTAAAATACTGACCTGGTATCTAAAGACCTTTCGGGCGTGTGATACGTTGAGAACATCACCGAAGTATCCGGCAAGATCGGCTGCCAGTCACTCTCCTTCGCCACTGCAGCGCCCAAAAGGGCAATCACGACGATTAATCGCATTTTCTGTAACAATGCAACAGTTTCCTGTTAATGTGCCTGTACTTAGTAATTCAATACACACGACAATACATCAAACTTGTCGAACCAGATTATTATGGTCCCGATTTGTATGATTTTCCTCACATTCGATAGCCAGTTTATGCTGGTTTAGCATGGCTAGATGCGTTGAGTACAAGTCAGTGAATAATTAATTTAGGCGCACAATTACTATTATTCGGCCGAGCATAGCGTATTAATATTACTCGCATACAAGGCTTGCTTGCCCGATATTAGACCATCATTCATACGTAAATACCTAGGTACTGCTTATTATTTACTAGCTTTTACCCGCGGCTTCGCTCGTGTCACAAAAGGATAAAAAGTAGCCTATGTGGCATATACCATTACACACAGCGCCATCTATACCAATACTTTTGTTTTCCCTCGGGAATATCAAACTTTTCTGGGATAAAAAGTACCCTATTATTTAATCCGAACTTCTAACTTTAAGTCTGCAAAAAATCAAAGCAATCGGTTTAGTAGTTACGGCGTGAAAGCGGAACAAACAAACAAACAAACAAACTCACTTTCAGATTTATAATATTAGTAGGGATAGTAGGGATGGAAAATTTTATAGTGAGAATTGTTACTGCTATGTTCATTGCATGATATTATTGTGTTTCTGATTAATTTACGGTTTCGCCAGATACTGTTTGAAAATTATTTTAGCATGACTTGTTCGCATTGGGAAATGGAATTTGAATTTCATGCAAATTACATTTGGTACTCTATGGTACCGTATAGACGCTATTCGTTTGTAAAGCCTCGACTGATAATGATAACAACAATATAAGCTGTGGTAAATAAGTACTTCAAATACAAAGACACTAAGACGAACTTAGATGTCATAATTCACCTTAAAGTATACTAAAAAGGGATAACATTAAGGTTAAAAATGCAGTGTAATGTGCAAGTTATAATGAGGCCGGTATTTTTTTAGTTTGTGTCCGCCAATTATGATATCCGACACTTGGTCGTAGATAGTCGTGGAAAGAAAAGTGGTATGCGCCGTTTTCTCGATCTCGTCTCTAAGTTCCTGCCTGACCACTTAATAAATACAACATTTCGTGTCCCATTGCTGCTGAACAAGAAGTTTATAGTTGATATGATATTAATATGATATGAAATACGTTTATTCGGCATAAGACATGCACGCCAGAAAAGACATATAAATATAAAAAAGTATAAAAACAGAAAAATTAAGAGATAAAAGGTAAATTATAAAACTAAAACTAAAACTAAAACAAGCCAATAATTCAGGTGCGCGGTGTTGGCGGACATGCCCAAACCGAACAGTTTATAAATTTTGTAAAGTTATATCGAATTCTATTATTTAACTTTAAACGGGATATTAAGCCTGTATCACAATAGCTGCTATATACTAGAATATAGAATATAATTTGTATGAACTATCTGTCACATAAAATAGGATGAAACAGGTGCTTCATGTTATAACTACTTTTCGCTTGTTAACTCGTCGAGTACCGGTTTTGTAGACACAATTATAGAACAATAGGTTGCGGTCACCGGTGACCGCTTGGTGTTTGACAGTTTAAACAGAAAGTCCCATTTGTTCAGACTACAGAATCGAACCTGACATTCTTTTGCTCACTTAACCAACAAGATGTCGTTGTTTACGTCATTAAAAACTCCATTTGGAGGCAAACGAAGAAAAACTGGTTCGAAAACAAATGAAGTTATGTTCGTAATATCCTTTCGAGCGTGTTTGTGTCGTTCGGGCTTCGGATGTCATCTACTCGACGTTAGTCAAATTAGGATTATGAACATATCTAATTTCTTAGGACTGTACATTTAGATTTTTGCAAAGGTATGTGCTATAACATAACATCGCGCCTTTTATCTGGTAAATATATGGTGTACATTATGCCACTGTACAATGTAACACCCACTTTTCACTATGTTATGAGTCCCATGTAATAGGGGGTGAGCCTATTGCCATATACTGGGCATAATTCCAGACTCCGTGCTACTATTGAGAAATTAAAAAAAAAACAGTTATACTTTGCCCGACCTGGGAATCGAACCCGAGAACCCTTGCGCGGCAGTCGCGCTTGCGACCACTCGGCCAACTAGGTAGTCTATATTTCTGGGTTTATTCAAGACATTAGTGATGAATGGTTAATCGGATGAAGAGTGAATAACCATTGTCATTGATTGAATTGGGCCTGCACTATTCCAATTTCCTAAAATGAATATAATATGCACTCGCCCAATCTTCGAATCTGAAACTTGCCTAGCAGTCGACCTTGAAACCAAAAACGCAGTAATAAACGAAGCTCATACTCTTGCACCTCCTAAAATAAGGTATTAATGCATAAATGATGCAATAATAAGAGAACAAACAATTCCACGAACACTTTCAAGATTAAAATTATGCAAATACAACTTAGTCATCTACTTACAACTCGTTTTGAGGTAGTTGAAATCGAATCCAGTAAAAAGTCGGTTAAGAACGATATATTAGGTTATATCATCATCACAGTTACGTGTTTTGGTTAAAACGCGTTATTAACTGCTGTCATTCCTTTACTGTTACATGGACGTTTTCATATTACGATGCCGTAATTTGTTCAAGAATTTACCTCCTTGAATGCCGTCACAGACCTACATAGGTATATAATATATATTATTAATATATCGAGCTATACATTGTAATATAGCTAGCCACCACAGACGGGAGTTACACTATCATCTGATATACAAGGTGTAATTTTGAAACCGTGGCATTTCTCGGGGGCATGTCACAGAAGTCATAAAGGTTCAATGAAAGAGAAAAATCGGACCAATAGCTAAAAATACGGCTATAATAATCGTTTAAGTTCGACAGTATTTCAGAATAAGCGACAGCAATGTTTCTTATTGGAGTTTTATGGAATTAGGAATTATATTAATTATGTGTTTGAGTATGTGTGTGTTAAGCCGCTTTATAAAGCTAGTTACAAGACGGCGGCGTGTAGTTCGCACTTACGGATTTCCGTAATTTACAGAAAAATTAAAAATATTTACATACAATTTTTTTATTGATTCGGCCTCAGAATCGATAGCCGCATTACCTCCTAGAAAATGACACGCGGCTTTAAAATAACACCTCGTATATAATTAAAAATAAATTTCCGTTCGTTAGTCTCGCTAAAACTCGAAATCGGTTGAACTAATTTGGCTAATTTTTGTCTTGAAATGTTCGTGGAAGTCCAGGGGAGGTTTGAGTGCGTGAGATATTTTTTTGTGCGGTATGAAAGTCTGCCGGGTCAGTTAGTAATATATATATATATATATATATTTTAGGTCTGCGATCGTATCGATTAAAATATATTGATATATTAAAATATACTTCGTGGATACATTTATATGACGTCACAGAAATATATTATTATAACTGTGTATGTGGTCACTTGAAAATTTGTATTGATAATATGTGATAATATGCCTTGCTATACCTTGCTATAACAGCAAGATTTCTGACGGCCTAATGTCCTTTCTTACTTACATTAATTACCTTATCTACGATATTGTTAACTGAAATTGTCATCAATTCCATTCTGTGTGTTTCCAAATTATCGTTAACGAATATACAGAAGCTTGTAGTTCAAATTCTCAGTATATCCGGATTAGAGTTGGACTAACAACAATTTAATCGGACATTGCGATACATACAGCCCTAATATAACCCTGACACGGGCGTAAAAGGGCTATTTTTGGACAGCAACAAGTATTGTTAATTGAGGGTTTGTGGTGAACCGCTAACTAAATTACCAATCATGGGCCTTTCATGCCTATTGTGAACTTCAATTACAATATTTTTTACTATGCAACGTTTGTTACAGTGTTTCAGTGATTTATTTATACCTGTTTCGAGTTACTCTTCGCTTTATCGTATATAAAATACTAGATATTGAACTGGTTTGTCAATTCTAGTAGAAACTAGAAATCGGAAATTTTGATGATATGAAATAATAGTATCAACTTAAAGAGAATCCGCAAATTAGACAATTCACAACTTTACACGAAAATTTTCATTTTTTTTATGTCATAAACCGGTAAATGAGTAGACGGATCACCTGGTGGTAAGCAAACGGCGTCGGTCATGAACACCTGGAACACCAGAGGCATAACAAGTGCGTTACCGGCCTTTTGGGGATTAAGAGTTTGAGGATCGGGATTCAGGGATGGGGGAGATTGGGGAATGGGAATAGAAAATTGGGCCTCCGAATTACCTCATGAATTTAGTTAATGCCATCTTATTATTTTAGGCTTTCTTTAAAGGTACGAATTGTGTATGTCTCATCCGCACGATTAGCAAGATAGAAATATCCACATATGACATGATTTTTTTTAAGGGGGGAGTATCATCGAATGACTGCTCCCGCCTGGGTGAGGCGGGAGGGAGTGTCAGACTCTTACTGACTAAAAACCACCTCGTTCCTTCTCCTGCACGTCGAGCCGGAGCCCCGGTTACCCGTTCGGTTCTCAGCGACACATATGACATGATAGTACTACTATTTTTACACATAAGTCGTACATGGTAAATTTGATTACGTTTGGATAGAGACGAAATCGAATTTCGATGTCATTTTACCCAAATCAGTTTCTAACTTGGCCTTCAGCAAAGCATCATTGTATTGTTGTGTTGTGAATTTTACAAAACTATGCTTGCCTTTACACACTTTAAATATTTCTTTGCATTTATAGGTAATATCTCCGCTATATCGAAACACAAAAGCTGTATCATTAAATCGTTTTGTTACGACATCTATTAAAAACAAGCAATAAAACACTTTTCACATATCACATAGCATCCTTCTACCTCCGAAGGGATAGGTAGAGGTGCATATACGGCACTTAATGCCACTGTACAATGTAACACCCACTTTTCACTATTTATGCTATGAGTCCCATGTAATAGGGGGTGAGGCTTTTGCCATATACCGGGCATATTTCCAGAC